ACAACAAGTAATACTACTATCACTACAGATATCAGTACTACTATTACAACTAGTACAGCTATTGCAGCAACTTCTACAACTACAACACCAACTACTACTTCAGCTATTATAACAACTTCTACAAAACAACACCAACTACTACTTCAGCTATTATAACAACTTCTACAAAACAACACCAACTACTACTTCAGCTATTATAACAACTTCTACAAAAGAACACCAACTACTACTTCAGCTATTATAACAACATCTACAAAACACCAACTACTACTTCAGCTATTATAACAACTTCTACAAAACAACACCAACTACTACTTCAGCTATTATAACAACTTCTACAAAAGAACACCAACTACTACTTCAGCTATTATAACAACTTCTACAAAACAACACCAACTACTACTTCAGCTATTATAACAACTTCTACAAAACAACACCAACTACTACTTCAGCTATTATAACAACTTCTACAAAAGAACACCAACTACTACTTCAGCTATTATAACAACTTCTACAAAACAACATCAACTACTACTTCAGCTATTATAACAACTTCAACAACTACTACTTCAGCTATTATAACAACTTCTACAAAACAACACCAACTACTACTTCAGCTATTATAACAACTTCTACAAAACAACACCAACTACTACTTCAGCTATTATAACAACTTCTACAAAAGAACACCAACTACTTCAGCTATTATAACAACTTCTACAAAAGAACACCAACTACTACTTCAGCTATTATAACAACTTCTACAAAACAACATCAACTACTACTTCAGCTATTATAACAACTTCAACAACTACTACTTCAGCTATTATAACAACTTCTACAAAACAACACCAACTACTACTTCAGCTATTATAACAACTTCTACAAAACAACACCAACTACTACTTCAGCTATTATAACAACTTCTACAAAAGAACACCAACTACTACTTCAGCTATTATAACAACTTCTACAAAACAACACCAACTACTACTTCAGCTATTATAACAACTTCTACAAATGCAAATTGTAAAAGCAAATGACTGTAACAAGGGGACAACCCTCAACAAATTTATATGAATGTTACAAACATGGATTATCTCCCCTGCTAACAGACAACCGACAGGCCAGCAAAGAGAACCATCAAATTGTTTTTTCAGAATCGATAATTGGGCGCGCCAGCCTGTCTTTCATGCGGCCCTTCCAAAAACGCATATTTCACAAAGCAAAACTATTTTATCTATTTCGCATTTTACGTTTGTAGTTCAATGTACATAATTTAAATATGATTAACAAATATAAACTCATGCATTTCTTGTCCCAGTATAGGAAGAAAAAAAATTCCAATCACTCATATGTGGGATTAAATTTTTCGTGTTTTTGTCAAGCCCCACCCTGGCTTCTGTCGGGGGCACTTATAGAAGGGGCTTAGATATGGCCTAGCCATAGATATGGCCTAACGGCTGACAGCGGTTAATGAGACCTCTCCATGGGCGATTCTCATCCACATGGTGGCACTTCGTGTCGCCGGGTGTTTATCGCGTGTGTGATGTCCTGGTGGGGTAAAGAGTCAGTCAGTCAGTCTTTATTTTTAATTTTAAAGCCCCAAGTCTTCGGGTGCCCTGTAACCTAACGATTGAACAGATTTTCTGGGATATGCACATGGGGATTCTTATCCTAGTGGTAGCACTTTGTGTCAGCGGGTGTTACCAGTTGGTTGTTGTGGCTGAACTTCACTGACTCACTCGCTATGAACAAGGATGGGTGGTAAATGCACACAGTCGGACAGAGAAACGTAAACATTTCACGGCGAAGGCATATATAAACACAGACAGGCATATATAGACACAGACATACATATATAGACACAACAAACAAATGTAGACATAGACATACATATACAGACACAGAGAGACATGTATAGACCTTGACGGACATATATAGACACAGACAGGCATATAAAGACACAGACAGGCATATATAGACATGGACAGACATGTACAGACATGGACAGACATATATAGACATGGACAGACATATATAGACATGGACAGACATGTACAGACATGTACAGACATATATAGACATGGGCAGACATGGACAGACATATATAGACATGGACAGACATGTATAGACATGGACAGACATGTATAGACATGGACAGACATGTACAGACATGGACAGACATGGACAGACATATATAGACATGGACAGACATGTACAGACATGGACAGACATGGGCAGACATATATAGACATGGACAGACATGTATAGACATGGACAGACATATATAGACATGGACAGACATGTATAGACATGGACAGACATATATAGACATGGACAGACATATATAGACATGGACAGACATGTATAGACATGGACAGACATATACAGACATGGACAGACATGGACAGACATGGACAGACATATATAGACATGGACAGACATATATAGACATGAACAGACATGTATAGACATGGACAGACATATATAGACATGGACAGACATATATAGACATGGACAGACATATATAGACATTGACAGACATATATAGACATGGACAGACATGTATAGACATGGACAGACATATATAGACATGGACAGACATATATAGACATGGACAGACATATATAGACATGGATAGACATATATAGACATGGACAGACATATATAGACATGGACAGACATATATAGACATGGACAGACATATAACGAAGGCAGTCAGGTCGTACAGGGGTGACACCTTGCTGTTGGGCGTTACGCCCCTGACCCCTTCCCCAGCACGTGGGCACCACTGGGGTGACCGTTAAAAAACCCTCAATACTTCCGGTCAAAATGGACGCTAGGCACGGTTACTGTTGGGAGCCGTGGCAAAATTTTTTGCTTCTGCAAGACGGTGGCCGGTGCATTTTTGCTCCATTTATAGACTGAAAGTATAGTTTTGTCGCCCAGCTTCTGAGTTGTGCATGTCGTGAAACTGTGAGCTGCTGATTTCATTTAGAATGTCTTTCTACTGTGACCAACGTGGTGGTGTGAATTGTAGATTCAGAAAATGGCGCGCAGTGCCTGTTGTTGCAATATTGGTGGTGCTATTATGTGATTAAAATTGATCGCGTGTGCAACTGCTGATCTGTTGGTGACTTCTGCTACCATCCATGATGAACTGCATTTCAAATGTCAGACTGTTTGTGTTAGCATTTCGGATGGCTACCTTATGCTTTTAATGCGTGTGTATGCTAGTGCATATGATGAGACAGCAGTCTGTCAATCTTTACACAAGGGACTGTGATAAACATTCTGTGTGTTTTTAGTTAGCACAGGAGCGGAGCAATTATGTAGTTACCCGTTGCTATAAAGCTGAAACTAAAATTACCAGAGTACCAGATTACCAAATTACCAGATATTCACACAAAAGGCATATGTAGATGCAGAAAGACATATATAGAGACAGACATATGTTTACACACATAGACAGGCATATATAGAGATAGACAGGCATATATAGATACAGACAGACATACAAGGTCCTACAATTGAGTAATGATACTGATTTTATTACGGCCAAGACAAAAGTACCATCTATGGAGCAAAGCATGGAATCCAAAGAGGCAACCTTCTTCTATGATCTAGCAACTCTGCATCGCCGCCTGATAAACAGACGACAAACAAGACGCCATTTTATTGACCTAGTTAGATGTGCATTGTTTTGAAATCAGCATGGAACAAAAAGCTAACATTAAATTCTGTTTAAAACTCAGAAAAAGCGCCATTGAGACATTTAATTGATGTGACAAATTTTGGGGGATAATTTTTTAAATCTGGTGCACAGATTTTCAGATAGTATTTGCGACTGAAATGTGGTGTAGAAATGATTACTAATGCAACTAGACCTGGACGCCCAATTTTTGTTTGTAATGATAAACCCATTGCAAAAGTCACAGAACGGATACAAGAAGATCGTTGTTTTACTGTCAGAATGATGGCAGATGAATCTGGTGATAATAGAGAGACCATTCGTAAAATTTAAGTGCAAGATTTTGGCAAAGACAAAAGTTGCTAGCATGTGTGTACCGCCTTGGTTGTCTGATGACCAGAAACCTTAGCGAGCTGAGTACTCATCAAAACAGGATTTTTTAGCCCGAAAACAGGTGTGTTCTCAACCATCCACCCTATTTCCCAGATTTGTCTCCCTGTAATTATTATATATTCCTAAAATTAAAGTTAAAATTAAAATGACGCTTCTTTGACGATAATGATGACATCCAAAGGGCCGTAACATCAACTTTAATGGCCAAAGCAACAGAATAACTACAGGGGTCGTTCCAATGTTTGTTAGATCGTGCTACTCACTGTATCAATGCACAAGGGGCTTAGTTTAAATAAACTACAGGCTATATCTTCAACTGTTGATTATTTTGATTTTTCTGGAATTAGTCTCATTACCTAATTGTCGGACCTTGTATACGGAAACTGGTAGGTATATATAGACATAGACAGACACATATAGATACAACGGTATAATCTCCGTCATCCCTTCTGGGATGTAATTTTTCGTTATTTTGAAGCCCCATCCTGACTCTTGCTAGGGGCCGCAAAATAGCCCGGCCATGTACTACAACTACAAAGGTATATGTAGACGCAAACAGACATATACAGACATTCATAATTATATATATATATATAATATAAATAATTTATGTATGTTTAAACCTAAATATATAAACATAGACATACTTTATAGACACAGACATGCATGTATAGGCACACAGAAATAATGCTGTGTATGAGGAGACTGTACAGACAGACAGACAGACAGACAGACAGACAGACAGACAGACAGACAGACAGACAGACAGACAGACAGACAGACAGACAGACAGACAGACAGACAGACAGACAGACAGACAGACAGACAGACAGATGGATGCATGGACACACGGTAAGATAGACTTATATAAACATGAACAGACACAAACGTTGACACATTATAAGAGAACTACCATTTTTCTTGTTTCTCTTTTTCCTGTTTCTCCTGCGGCCGCCAACAATGAGGGCTCCGTCTGCCTTGTTGCTGCTGTCACTGAATGGTTTGCTGTCCTGGATAGCCCGGCTGATGGCGTTGTAGATCTTTTCTTTCAGGGGAGACCGCATCACAGAGTTACAGTTGCTGCATGGTGTTTCTGTTGGGGATAGACTGGACCATAGATTTCACCACAGATTTCATGGTACACATCCTAGCAGTAGCAATGTTTCTATTGGGGATAGACTGGACAATAGATTTCACCACAGATTTCATGGTACACATCCTAGCAGTAGCAATGTTTCTATAGGGAATAGACTGGACAATAGATTTCACCACAGATTTCATGGTACACATCCTAGCAGTAGTTATGTTTCTGTTGGGGATAGACTGGACAATAGATTTCACCACAGATTTCATGGTACACATCCTAGCAGTAGCAATGTTTCTATAGGGAATAGACTGGACAATAGATTTCACCACAGATTTCATGGTACACATCCTAGCAGTAGCAATGTTTCTGTTGGGGATAGACTGGACGATACATTTGACGATAGATTTCAGTGTGCACACGCTAGGTTCAGCTGTGTTTCTCTCGGTGCTATCATGAACGATAAAAGTCCTGTTTCAGTGTGCACACGCTAGGTTCAGCTGTGTTTCTCTCAGTGCTATCATGAACGATAGTGGTCCTGTTTCAGTGTGCCACGCTAGGGTCTGCTGTGTTTCTCTCAGTGCTATCATGAACGATAGTGGTCCTGTTTCAGTGTGCACACGCTAGGTTCAGCTGTGTTTCTCTCAGTGCTATCATGAACGATAGTGGTCCTGTTTCAGTGTGCACACGCTAGGTTCAGCTGTGTTTCTCTCAGTGCTATCATGAACGATAGTGGTCCTGTTTCAGTGTGCACACGCTTGGTTCAGCTGTGTTTCTCTCAGTGCTATCATGAACGATAGTGGTCCTGTTTCAGTGTGCACACGCTAGGTTCAGCTGTGTTTCTCTCGGTGCTATCATGAACGATAGTGGTCCTGTTTCAGTGTGCACACGCTAGGTTCAGCTGTGTTTCTCTCAGTGCTATCATGAACGATAGTGGTCCTGTTTCAGTGTGCACACGCTAGGGTCAGCTGTGTTTCTCTCAGTGCTATCATGAACGATAGTGGTCCTGTTTCAGTGTGCACACGCTAGTGTCAGCTGTGTTTCTCTCATTGCTATCATGAACGATAGTGGTCCTGTTTCAGTGTGCACACGCTAGGGTCAGCTGTGTTTCTCTCAGTGCTATCATGAACGATAGTGGTCCTGTTTGTGATTGTAACCAACTTGACAGACTCGATAACTGGAGATGTATAAAAACGTGAACGTCTATAGGTGGCGTGGTTAGGGACCAGTGCAAATATTTAAATAGCAATTTGGGAAGATGAGGGGTTGGGGTGTCGGGGGGCGGGAAATGAGCTCCAACAAATGATCAGTGTGGAGAACCCCAGCCTACTATAACAAAAAGGTGTTTGGGGGGTAGGGGGGAGACAGGCACTTACATCCCCTATAAATCTTTATTGTGGGTAGGGTCCTCAGGCACCTTGAAAAAGGTTATTTTCTTTTTTTCACCCCATCTCGGTGGTTCAAGGAAATACTTGGTGAGTTCCCTTGAAAGTCCACTATTTTAGGGGTGTTATGACACCGCTAGGTGCTCCTATGCGAACATATGTATGCAGCAGTTAGACAAACAGTCTTTTATCAGAACAACTGAGCAACTTTCTTTCTGTGTCAATGTGGTGAATGTTTATTGCCTCATCATTTTCGATGTGTGCGTAACTTTCGTTCGTTCTTGTGAAATTAGCACCGACTATCGCTGACACTTCTATACTATGCGACATTTCCAGGAATTTTCAACGAAATCTCGGAGGCTCCGAGATAAGGTGAAATAGAAGTAACGAATCCCTTCATGTTTAGACTTTTATTTGACTCCCTCAGGAACAGACTAAAGTACATACAGAACTCGAGGACACAGACTCCTACATAGTCCGTGCATGGAACAGACTAAAGTACATACAGAACTCGAGGACACAGACTCCTACATAGTCCGTGCATGGAACAGACTAAAGTACATACAGAACTCGAGGACACAGACTCCTACATAGTCCGTGCATGGAACAGACTAAAGTAAATACAGAACTCGAGGACACAGACTCCTACATAGTCCGTGCATGGAACAGACTAAAGTACATACAGAACTCGAGGACACAGACTCCTACATAGTCCGTGCATGGAACAGACTAAAGTACATACAGAACTCGAAGACACAGACTCCTACATAGTCCGTGCATGGAACAGACTAAAGTACATACAGAACTCGAGGACACAGACTCCTACATAGTCCGTGCATGGAACAGACTAAAGTACATACAGAACTCGAAGACACAGACTCCTACATAGTCCGTGCATGGAACAGACTAAAGTACATACAGAACTCGAAGACACAGACTCCTACACGGCAATGTTTGCAAGCACAGGCACCACTTTTATTCCACGCGGATGGACTAAGGTCATCCCCACAACCCAACCCCGTTTACGCCCTATAGGCCAACCCCTCCCTCCCTCCTTAGACACTTAGTGTACGCTGTTGGCGTCCAGCCCGTCCCTTTTTTTTGCCCCTAGCTGTGCGTTGGAGGTATATAGGCTGACCGTCGTTTCATTGAACGAAGTTTTTTCGCCAGGGACACTAGATGAGTATCGTTTATTCTATACATTAGAGTCCTATGTAGTCACTTCATAGTTAGAGCCTATTTGTGTATGTGTACTGTGTTGTCCTTTATGTGCTGATGAAGGCTAATCGCCGCAACGTCCTTTGTTTGTTTATTGTGATCGATTTTGTAAAGCTAATACAAACTAATTGTTGTTTCTTACCAACTTTTTCTCTTCCCTATAATTTTCTACTCCTTATTAAAAAAAAAAAAAGACTCCTACACGAACCGTTTCAGAGACAGACTCCAACATAACATCAGTGTCAGGGACGGACAAAAGCACCAGCATAACTTTAGGACACAGACTCTTACACCTAACGTGTCGAACGTGTCGAACCTAACTTCCGGGGGCTGCCATGCTGGAATGGAAAATCGTCCTTGTCGGATATGGTTGTACACGTAGAACAATGACGGGGACCCTAACACAGCTGCAGTTCAATCAACTACACCACACCCATGAGACCTGAGCTCCTGCTACTCACACGCGGTCACCTCTAGAATACAACATGTATTTACACTGGCGTTTATATGCACTGATTGAATGCCTATCCTATTTTTTTTTTTGGGTACAAACATGAAACTACAAAGCTAATTGTTTGTCTACTCCTAGCCAGCACACAAACAAACACACAAACAAAATGGCCACGCCACGAAAGGTGACTTACCCAGTCCCAGGTATCGGTTCCTTGTCTGTGAGCTGACGTGAAGGAGGTCACCTTTCGCTTTGTATATCACATACATTGAGTGTGTTCCACTCGGAATCTACTCACTCACTCCTCTCTGTGCCACAGCCTGTGCTTACAAGAAAAACCGGAGAGAATAGGAAGGGGGCGGCATAGAAAGCATTTACAGGTAGAGGTGTGTGATTTTGACGGCTGGGTAGAAGGTCGAGACGGAGCGGGGGTGGGGGGGGGGGATAATGGGTAGAAGGTCGAGACGGAGCGGTGATGTGGGGGAGGGGAATAATGAAGAATGTAAAGGAAGATAGAGCTGTGTAATTTTGACGGCTGTGCAGAAGAGCGGGGGGCGGGAGAGGGGATACCGGTTAGGTGAAACCAGATGGGAACAAGAGTTGGCGGCCGTGTCTGCTCACACTGTTGTGTACAAACTGTCACTTATGCATTCAAACATACATCCCCCCCCCCCCCCCACACACACACACACGCATACACTAACACTCCTACATAAACACACATAAACACACCCTACGCGCCCACTGGACATCATGTGTTTTGCTTGAGCGATGTCACAAACAAACACCGGCACAAGTTGATGTAGAACTGGCCGGGTGTGCCTAGTACTTACATTAGGGATAAACAACAAATATAAATATAGGTACTTTGTGTGCGTGTGTGTTAGTCTTTCTATGACGTAGAGAGAGAGAGAGAGAGAGTGTGTGTGTGAGAGAGAGAGTGTGTGTAAGAGAGAGAGAGAGAGAGTGTGAGTGAGAGAGAGAGAGTGTGAGAGAGAGAGAGTGTGAGAGAGAGAGAGTGTGAGAGAGAGAGAGTGAGAGAGAGAGTGTGTGAGAGAGAGTGTGTAAGAGAGAGAGTGTGAGAGAGAGAGTGAGAGAGAGAGAGAGAGAGTGTGTGGGGAAAGGGAGGGGGGAAAGGGAGGGGGGTCAGCGAAAAAAAAAAAGGAAACATATTTAGCTACATAGCTGGCACGTGACCGACAATCAGAACCTGACATTTGTCACGTGACCAACATGACAGGTATCTCGTTGTCAAGGAGAACTTTGCTGTTGTCACGTGATCGTCGTTCACAAGCCCATCCAAGCGTGTTGACAGCGGCCACAACTAACCCAAGCCACGGACAGAAGCCTCTCCCCCGCTCACATCCTTCCCCATGTCTGACACACCCCTATCTGGTTGTAGTACCCGTTCCCGGACCAGGCAGACACTGACTGATCTTTGTTTGATGTTTGCTGACCCTTGATATCAGCGGCATTCTGTTGATCTCTTTTTAAACGACTCCAGAAAATCCAGAAATGTCGCCAGCCGCTTAAAACAAAGAATTAAATACACCCACAGGACGTCCAATATTTACATCACAGAACACAGCGTGACCCCCTCTAACTTAGACCAGCGTGTGTGAAAGGTAAGCAAGCATCAGTGAAAGCCCATTTAAGCTCTTGTTTGGCTGGGGACGGTTACTAGAACTCCCAGTCTCAGCCTGGCTCGGTAGGATGGAGCGCGCCATCAGTGACGTCACACAACATAGGTGTTGTCTTTTGCTCGACATTCAAGGCACTAACACAGTTTATAGCACCACCACATTGTATTTACACAGATACAACACAAGAAAGAAATGACCATCACAACAGTGGTTACAAATGTAAAAAAAAACATGCGTTCTCTGGCTGCTGGATCCGTTGTTTCAGCTCTGTGGTGATCTCTCTATACAACGACACAGTCACTGTCACGCTTA